GCCCCCTCCCCCCCAGCCGGGTGGCTGAACTAGCAGAAGGTGAGCACAATGTGGATCCAAGTCCGTACCATAGACGGCACTGAGACTCATACTATTGATGACCTGAGCCGTCTCACCAAGATCGAGTGCCTGCGAGAGAAGATCCAGGAGACCTTTTGTGTGACCCCCGACCGCCAGCGCCTCTTCTACCGGGGCAAGCAGGTGAGGTGGAGATGTCCCTACCTGGTGGATAAGGGCAGTGATGGAGGGGAGCTTTTCTCTCCTATCTCATGCTCTTTTTAAGCTCTTATCTATGTGGCTGGATGTATAGCTCCTGATCCTCTGGCTTTTATTTCCTCTCCTCTTCCTAAGCCTAGGAGGTGGTGAGGGGCAAGGAGGGGAGCCAAGCCACCTGGTGTGATGAGAGGCCCTGGGCCCAGCTCTCCTTTCTTTCTCCTTTTGCCCCACTCCCTAATGGTAAATGGATACTAGTGAGGCCTCGTTTTGTTTTCCCCATTGTATTGAGGGAGACACCTCCACCTTATTGCACCTAAGTGACAAGGGCAGGCAGTGGGTTATGAGGAGGAGGAAATCTCCTGTTTTTGTTTTGTAACCAGGCAAGAAAACACAATTATTCTCCCTCAATTCCTTCCCTTTGCCTGTGTTCCTGTTTGATATATATATATATATATATAAAAATATCATATATCTACCCACATCTGTCTGGGTGTAAAGAAAATATTTCCTGTGTGTACAGTGCAAGCAGTTTCCAAGGCCTAGGTGTGTGCCACAGACTAACAGTTCTTGGAGACTGTGGGCTCTGACTCTTCCCATTTCCCCTTCCTCCCTGCCCTGCGCCACCCCCCCACAGGGGAGTGAGTGAGCGATTTTACTCATTAGAATCCTTCCTGAAGGTGTGCATGTGACTACATGAGCTGAGGAAAGGGGTGCAGGGTCTACTGCTGCAGCGATTTCTTGGCATCCTTGTGTTGGAGCTGTGTGAGTTTAGTTTGTGCAGGTATGACTTCTATGTTCTAGTCCTTTTTAGAGTTAAAAACAACTTTTTACAAAGAAGGATGTCAATTATATCCCATATCTCAAGAAGTGCTTCATCTAGACCCCCTTCCAACAGTATTGGAGACTGCTGATTAAGAGCTTTCTATGAGTTGATGCTTTCTCTCCTCACCGGTGCAGCGTATGTCTTTATTAAAAAAGATTTCCTCAGGCTGTATCTTTTTTTTAAGCTGTATTACATAAACCAGGTATGTGCAATGCTTGAGTAGTAGTGAGGCATAAACGTTACATGGGGGAGGAAGGAGTATCAGATGTGTTGTATTTTAGGGAGCTTGGCTTTTAAGATGGGACTTGTTAGTATAAATAAGCATGACAATGTCAGCTTAAGCTGAGTGATGCAAGATAGGGCAAGACTTTTGTCCTATTAGACAGACAGAACATGTACTTGTACAAACAGAAACAACTATGAGGCATAACTTTACATGACTAAGAAGTAGTCATAAGTGACTAGTTTGTGAAGCTACAATCTGAAATGTACCTCAGACCAAATGGAAACTAACAGATTTCATGTCATACTGGCTCTGTTCTGAGCAACAAGGAAGACTGTTCTCTTCCTTGTGGGTTCCCCAAGGGAAGATGGGAGACAGGTTTTATGAGTGCATATCTAAGCAGGTGGCTGCAGACAAACTCCTACTGTTCTGATATGGTCAAATAGGCGCAACATCAGTCTTCAAGTTAAATAGTTTGTTTGCTTTTTTGTTATGTCTGAGTCAACATTCCCTTCAGTACAGATCTTGGTGCATGATGCAATTTAATATGTGCATGTAAATGTATTGTTAAGGGTATCATCACACATCATTGATGGGAGTGTTTAGAAGACTGATAAATCAGATCAGTTTTTAAAAAAAAAAAAAAAAAGACTAGACTGACATACATTAATAAGACACTTTATGCTAACAACTAGGTTCTAAGTACTACTATCACTATGTATACATGTACTATGTATCACTATGTATACATGTACTTTGAATACTATGTATTCAAAGCAGTTCTTAATCAAGTGGGTGACTTATCCCTCTCTCCCCCCCGGTTTCAATTCTTGTACTTTTGAGATTTTTAGACAACAGTTTTTAGCTTTTGGCCTCCCCACCTGGGCTATGTGCTGCCCAGTGTGCTGAGTGGGGGGAGGGGTGGCTTGGCTGTGTGGTGGTGTGTTTTGTTTGTTTGTTTGTTTTTGCTTTTGTTCCTTGCTTAGTTCCTGCTGCTTTTCTTAAAATAAAAGCTTGTGGGGTTTTTTGTTTTCTTTTTTGTTTTGTTTTCTCTCAGGTCTCAAGGTTGCACTTTGTCAGTGTCCAGTAATTGCCCTTCAGTGAGTAATTTATGGTTTTGGGGCCCTTGGTTTTTAACCTTTGTTTGTATTTTTCAAGACCTTTGTTATCTCATGCTTACATCAAAACAGGAGACACCTGGTACCAAGCTCTGGTTCACACAGCTAGTTATCATACTAAGTTAATAATATGCCTAACAGGCCATGCCTGGGGCCTTGAACAATTAGCATAAGGCCTGTGGCCTGTTACTGATGATGGCAGTGTTCTCATGGGGCACAGAAATACTGTTATGTTGTTTACTGGTTATGCTATATTATTGTCTTTATGTTTGAGTGTTTAAACAAGCTGATTTTGATTTAATCCTGGTTATTGTGCTTCTACTTCTGTGGGTGTAACAGGCCTCTGCTTTCACTACTTGTGGAAAACAATTTACCTGAGAACCAGAAAACATGAGCCTGTAGTGAGTTGTGATTCTTTAAGTAGTCTCAGTGATTAAACTAATAGGAGCATCTGTAATTTGGCAATTATATTAGTATGTCTTATCTTTATTTAGTAGAATAACAAGATCTTATAGTTGAAGTTGTCCATAGGGGTGGTATCCAAACTGTACCCTAAACTGTTTTAGATGATCAGTAAAGCTATAATTGTAGAATCTTTAAAAATTCAAAGTTTCACTCATTACGTAACTACTTAAGTATTTCCCCCCTCCCTTAAATATTTATAGTGACTTCTAAAATTTCCTTGATAATTATGGGTTAGTTAATCGAGTAGCTGATTTAATAGTAACTAGGGAGGAGGATGTGAGGGCTTGCTCCCATACAAATAAAATCTGATGTAAAAAAATACTAGCAGAGCAATATGTAAACAACTGTTTCAGGGATGTGATACAGATGCATAGGCCATCTCATTAAATAGAAGGTGATCAGGAAGTAATATATTGTGTTAAAAGAACAAAGAAAAAACTGAGAGGGTAGTCCTGTGAGGGAATAAACTCCCATGTGACAACACAAGCTGGGGAGCAACTGTCTGGGCAGCAGCCCCTACTGAAAAGGTCCTGGGGGGTCCTGGTAGAAAGCAAGCTGAACGTGAGCTCAGCAGTATGCACTGGTAGCAAAGAAGGCTAACAGCGTCCTGGGCTGTCATAGAAGTGTAGACAGTAGACCGAGAGAAGTGATTGTTTTCCTTTACTCATCACTCATTAGATCACATCTGGAATGTTATGTCTGGTTTAGGTCCCCCAATGCAAAAAAGATGCTGATAAACTGCAGTTAGCACAGTGGAGGGCCACCAAGATGGTCATCAACTGGGAGGTGATTAAATGCATATACCCATGTTCTTTAACAAGAAGATAGCAGAGGAATACTGCACTCGATTACATGTTAGGAAGAGCTGTGCATGTTATTGGTCTCTTACAACTCTCCTCAGACATAATCTTTTCACTGACTTTAATTTGAACTGTCTCTTTTTTCCATATACCCTGGCTTCTATTGGTGGGAGTATTAATGTTGCACAAAAACTGGATTTGTTGCAATTCAGTGTGCGATGAGCCAATAATCTCACACTCAGGAGAGACATTTGCTCCTTTATTTCAGAGTCACATAAGGCCGGGTGCTCAGTGGTTTCCCACAAATCGAGCACACGCACCCAACTTTCCAAACCGTATTTACATACTCAGTAATCATACCAAGTACATCCCTCTAACACTGATTGGTTAGTAATTTAAATGCAATTATAATATTGCTTACTTATCATGTCTACTACAATGTGTGCTCGGGGGAAGGGCCTTCGCCTGGGCAAGGGTGGCCTATGGAGATGTTTTTTAGTATTATAAGGAATGCAGTTCATTAAGGATACATAGACCTTGATTCTTAAAAATTCTGATTTTAATGAGCAGCTCCAGGTTGTCCTTGGTTAAAGAATGCTAGCTGTCTGTTCTGTCTGGTCTGCTGATAAGTTTCCTCCTGTCCTACTAAGGCACAGGGGACATCTGTTCTACTTTAGACAAGGTGAATCATCCTAATCCTGCAACATTAATAATAATGGAAAGCCTGATAATAAATATGCCAATAGGTCAGGTCTTGGATTACCTGTAAAACATTCTTTGAAAAAAACTCTTCAGCTGAAATCAGCTGGTGTATGCATGGTATCAGGAAACAGCAAAAGCAGGGCTGCTGCTCCATGCAGGAAAAGGAGCTGGTTGTTGAGGATGACTGCAGCACAGGCAGGGGAATGGATCTTGGCAACAGAGTACAATCTCTCAGTACCCGAGCAGGATAAAAGAGCAGGGTTGATGACAGTTGCAGGTTCTGTTGATAGGCCAGTGATCACCAGACAAATGTGAGGTGATAAGCTGGGTTTAGGGTCAATTCAGGAAGCCCAGTCAGCAAGTTGGTGTGGCAGTAGAAGAAACATATTGCTTCAATACTAAGAAGTTAGAAGACTTGGTAAATATTACTTGTAAAAAAGGTCATATTCTTTAAGGCTGTATGCTGTGGCCTATAAGCTTATTTATAAAAAAAAAAGGTTTAGCACTTATGTAAGCTCATTTTTGAAGCTCTTGCAAAGTGAATGCTCCTTATAGCAACTTAATTGTAGAACATACCTAGGGAAACTGCATATCTGGATGATGAGTTTTGCCTGCAAGTGATGAAATATGGTCAAATGTTGGTATCTTCTACATTGATGGAAGTTGTACTGAAATGGTTCCCTTTTTTTAATAAAAAAAAAAAGTTCATTAGGTTTACCTCAGTCTAATTCTGAAACTATAATAAAGCAACTTTGATTAACTTGAATCTTCCCTGTGTACTTTAAATTTGTCGCTCATTACAGAAGATCAGTTCTTCATTACAGGCATCCTTAAAAGTTGCAGGTAGTCATTTA